GACATGCGCCCACACAGTACTCAAAGATATCGTAACCAGGTAAGAGTTCTCTTCAAACTGGCTATGGCGACCACTCGCCCACACAACTCACTGTTCGCACTCTGGATCACCCTGGATGTCCCACACGCAACACTCTACATGCACACTACTATAGCTATGGCAGCTATGGCTGCCACTACCCTATCGCTACACTACCCTTCTCTGTCCTCTTCGTCTTCGGGCGCACTGCAGACCTCCTCGCACAAGCTGCTGAGGCAGCGCTTCCGCATGGCATCCACAGGAATGAATGAATGGCTGGACGCAGCCTCTTGATTTATACTTCTGCGCTGTGTTGGTCTGCCCTGTATCCCTTGGCCCACGATGTGCACAGTCCCAGACGGTACTTGCTTGACTGGACCGGACTGGGCTACCTAGGACTGCTGACTGGGCTAGGTGGACTACCACCACTTGACCACTTGCCTCTGCTGAACGCAGGCCAGCTCCGAAAGGCCAGTTCTAGAAACCTCTACGCTGGCCCTTCGGTACTGTAGCAGCTACGACTTTGCCCTTTCAGGTAAGTACCGGCTACGACCTTGACCCTTCAGGCAGTCTACAGCTACGACCTTAGAACTGTCTAGACTCCTACCCTACAGGTCTACAGTTCGAATCTCTTCTAAGCTGTGACCTACGACAATCTACCTACCACTGGCGTTTCGACAGGTCGCAGGTTCAAATCTACAGGTTGACCTCAATACTGTACACGGGTAAGATGGGGAACTAGGGATCGAGCCCTGGGACCTGCATTCGCTACTGCGAATTGGTGAATACCGTTTCACTGGGCATGGCTCCATGTTCATTCTGCGATGCATCGTTCTGCCTTCTTTCCATTGACAACCCCCATGGAAGATGCATAAACTGACGCATCCGCAATTTCTTCCGTTTCCGTCAAACCACCCGTTCGCTTCCCATCTATTTTGTTGTTACGCGGCAGTTAACACGCCATGTCCTTCGGAGTTTGGCCGACCGAACGAAAAAGGCTAGATGTCAGGCAATTTTTTCAGACTTTTGTGCCCACGCCAGTTTGGCAAAACTTGGTGCACGGCAGTGATTGGAAAAGAGGCATACTGGTGCACGACAGAAACCGGCATGCGAAAAATGAGGCCCTGAAGAGCATTGATTGCCCCCTGATTGCGAGGATTGACTGTTAGGTAGCCATTTTCTTCTTCAGTTTCTCTCAATCTCAGGATTGCAAAGACCGCCAGACCCTCCTCCTCCCAAATTCTGGGCTTGATAGGTAGGCCACAGGTTCCATCTGCTATCTGTTGCACCGTTGGGCTTATTGATCTAAATCAACTGGAGTGTGCCGTTCCCCAAGAAATTAGCTGTCGCTTCTGCGAATGTTATGCTGTAGTTAGAGGAGAGTCGGTGGTCTCGTCGACCTGGAGCTTTACCTCTACAACACCCATCTCAGAAATTGTTCAGGTTTCCTGACTTGTAAGACCAGGATGCCCTCCCTGTTCCACCTTCTCGGTCGCTTCCTGATGAGATATCCCATTTCTTCAACTTATCGCTTAGCACAGAGATGTTGCCTCGTACCAGCCAGCTTTTACCAGAAGCTTTCTTCCTAGTTTCAAATCGGTCTGGCCTGTCTTTGGCTTGCTGTTTGATTTTCTGCCAGATGGTTCAAAGTGTGGCTTTTCTGAGTAGGAGGTTCCATATCCTTGGTCCAACTTAGACATGAAGGGGATTTGGATGGATAGAAGGCTGTGAGGGGGGAGGGGGGAAGGTGGCATTGTGCAAGGGAATACCAAAGCCTTTTACACCTGCTTCAGACCGGTACCCGCCAGCCGCAGCCTGTCTGCTTCAGTATTTATTATCAATATACAAGAATGTTTGTCACCAGCAGCTCTGCCACACACACACACGCACACACACAGCGAGTCTCAACCAAGTAGCGGCTATGGCTTCCCTCCTCCTCTCGTCCTCTACCTCTTTCTCTCTCTCTCGGCCCTCTCTCTCTCTC